TTTGTTCCAAATAGAAATGAAAAAATAAAGGGTGAATGACACTATATAGCCGCTCTTAAAATAATAGGCAAAAAAATGTGTAATATATGTGTGTGTGTGTGTGTCACGCCCCGAACCTGGGCCTAGACGTAACACAACACCCGGTGCCTGACTACAAGTGACCGAGCGAACCAACTGGCTGGCTGAATCAACATGTGATATCATAACACACTGAATACGGAAGATAAACTAGCACATGTTGATATATTAAAAGTCTGAATGATATAAATCAAAAGGCGGAAACCATAATATAATTATGGGATATATATGTAGCAAACATTGCTTAAACATAAAAAGCCTGCGACTCTGTCTAACTGTTACTCTAGTCTATGAAGCCTCTAATGAAGTACTGAAAATACTGAAAGACTCTAAAGTAATGATAATGCCCCGAAAGAACTGAGGATCACCAAATAGCTGGTACGAGAATCCTAGCGCTCTAACTCGTCAACCTGTAAATCATTGCCTGCGTCGTGAGATGTTTGCCCCTAGAAAAAGGGACGTCAGTACATTTGAATTGCACTGGTATGTAAAGCAACTGAAAGAAAGAACTATAAATGCTGAAACTGATACTGATATGATAACTGAGAATTGATAATTGATAACTGAAATGATAACTGTTGAAACTGAAACTGAAACTAAAATGATAACTGATAACCGATAACTGATAACTGATAATTGATAACTGAAATGATAACTGAACTGAACAAAGGAAGTAAGGATATGAATACGCCCTCTTCTGAATGATGAACAACCTGTTTATCTGAATAAACTACGGTCTTGGGCCTAACATATATGTGTACAAACTACGACCTCAGGCCCAAGTATATGTATACATAACTACGTCCACAGGCCCAAAAATGCATAAACTACGGCTCAGGCCCAAACATGCATAAAACATAAACTACGGCTTCAGGCCCAAATACAAGTGTTCAATATTCAGGGATTTAAATTTAGGAACTGAGAATCATACTGCAATTTGTGATGCTGAAACACTGAAAAGTATTGAGTTATATGATACTGGAATACTAAATAGAACTAGATTGAGACATGTATTCATGAACTGATTATGAAAACTGGACTTCAACTTTTTATGACATGTTGAGTAATCTAGACTAAGATTCATGGGCATCAAACCCAAGACTATATTGATTACGCATTGAGCTCACAACGTTCAGAATGAAAGTCATGAACGAGTTATGAAGTTAGAGAATAGAATATCTGCAACTATTCAAGGATCTAGGCTTAACTATAATTCTGAGGCAATTAGTAATATCATAAAAGAAACGTAGTGTAGGGAAAATTATTAACATTCCCAAACATAGAGAGTTAGCCTCACATACCTTAACTTCCTGCTCTTGAATGTAATACCATATTCGCCAACCCTTTCAACTTTAATTTATAGCAATACAAGTCAAAGAGATTCCATATTAGCAATAATACTCATGTTTTGGTCACTTAGGCATTTTCTCAAACACTTGGTGGGCATAAAGCTTCATAGCCCTTATTAATGGTGTTTCTACACCCGACAACCCATTCTCTTGCTCATAGATAAATTCTAAAATCTCAATTTGCTATAATCAATACCATTTTTTATCACCCATAAAATAAACAACACCCTTAATAAATAATCAACAATCAACAACCCAAGCCTATAATCGTTCATGGTTTTCTATCAAACCCATCAACTCATATCTCATGAAAATATAGTCTATAATTATTAATCCAATGGTATAATCAACTAGAGGGTGAAGATATTACCTTTTTGAAGTTCAGTCCTCTTGAATTCGAGTTCTAGGATTTCTTTTCTCAACCAAGATGTCCCAATCGAATATCTAATGATTTGGAGGATTTACCCATGTTAATAAGGTGTTGGGGAATTGAAATTAACTTAGAATCACGATTAGAACTTACCTTGGATGGTGGAGGGACCTTTGAGGAGTTAGGTTCTTGAGAGCTTCCCTTTCTAGAGCAAATTTTTATATTTTGGGGTGTGGGGGACGAAGTAGGGCTTTAAAAATGACCCCTCGGATGCGCTTCCGCGCACCTGGACGCACAGCAGGCAGTAGCACTGCCACAAGTGCGTGGGCGCTCACCTGGGCACGCATACTGCGCATTGTCCAGCAAAACGCACATAACTTTTTTCACAGAGATCCGTTCGGGCTCCACAATATATCGTTGAAAACTATTTCAAAGGGCTACAACTTTCATGTTTTACATTTTCTCAAATTCCCAACAGTTTTTCACGAAATACTTCTAGAAGACTGACCTTCTATAAACTTAGTCGATTTTATCGAATCTTATGCACCTCACGCTCTGTCTTGATTCCAAAATGTAACTATTTTCACCCATAATCATCCCGATAGGACTTCATATGTCTAAGATGTCACATTAATACTCATTTAACATGTCCACACCTAGTCCAAATTTACGGAGTGTTATATATATATATATATATATATTATATTTTTGTGGCTACCAAATATAAATAGTTCCGGTCCTAGACTAAAAGTGATCTTTGCCCAAAAATAAATAAACAAACACTTGACAGTCACTGGACCTCTTTTGGACTGCCGTCTAACCATAAGGTAATAGTTGGATCAGTCTCATGCTAAGGGGGGTGGGGGGATTTGCATCTATACCCCCGCTTTTTGGGCCACGTTTTAACTTGTGCCCGCTTTGCAAAAAAAATTGTAAGCGTAGCCACTTTTTCGCGTAACTTCAGCATACGGGGCTGAAGTAGCAAAGGCAATCACGCAAAACTTCAGCATTCTAGTAGACGGTACTGAAGTAGCAAGTGTGCTGAACCAAGTGTGCTGAAGTTTTTGTTTGTAATTGCTGAACTTAAGCATAGTACCTGAAGTTTTGTTCTCTATTTGTTGAAGTTTTTGTTTGTAATTGCTGAAGTGTTTGTTTTGTAACTGGCGAACTTCCGCTCTAGAGCTGAAGTTTTTGTTTTGTAACTAGCGAACTTCCGCTCTAGAGCTGAAGTTTTTGTTTTGTAACTGGCGAACTTCAGCTTTAGAGTTGAAGTTTTTGTTTTTGTAACTGGCGAACTTCAGCTCTAGAGCTGAAGTTTTTGTTTTGTAACTGGCGAAGTTTTTGTTTTGTAACTGTCGAACTTCAGCTCTAGAGCTGAAGTTTTTGCTATGTATTACTATGAATCCACAATAATCTTCAAAGCGGGAATCACATCGTATGGCAATCCACGACGATTTTCAAAGTGTGAATTCACATCGTATAGCAATCTAAGTCCTTGTGAAATCAAACAGCTAGTATTCTTGCCAAATTACTTGTCGCGTTTGAGTTTTTAGTACTTACAATTAAAAGGAATTCTGAGTAATAGTAAGAAATATTTATTTAAAAGAGATAGCTGAAGAATAAACTTCATCAAGAATATCTCCATAGCCCATGTCAATTACTGGAACATTTTCACAATCAGCGACTTCAGAAAGGAGTGGCCTATCGGATTGAGGGCGGATATAACTTTGAGGAGGAGAAGGAGGAGGAGAAAGGGGGCTGAAGTTGTTTAAAAAGTGGGTACAAGTTAAAACTTTTTAAAAAATGGGTATCGGTTAAATGGGAGCGCCCTATTTTTACTGCTATGGGTCACCCAATATAAAATGGTTAAGCCCAATATAGCCCTACTATTGAGGGGAAATAATATTCAGTTTAGGGACATGACATTGTTGTTTTTAGAACAGTTACTGACTTAGGTGTCAATGTGTCATTTGATCGATTTTCAATATTACTAGAAATTACATGGATAGCTGAATAAGAGGGAGGCCGGAAGATGGATTGATTTCCTTTTTTTAAGGTCAAAACAAAGTTAATTGTTTTTGGTTAACTTTGGATTTATCAATAGCGATGACAATTAAGAAGGTAAAAAAAGAAAATAAGAGAAGGCTTAACAAACATTCCATAATGGCTTAAAAAAAATGTGCTCTTAAGAGAAGACGCATCGTAGGCCAACCTCGACCTTTTTCGCTTTTGATGGAAAGAAATTTTATATCTCAAAGTGTAAAGGAAAAAGGAGAAGATTAGCCGAGGATATTGTTAATGTGTGATTGTCTTTCTACTATAGAACTTATATAATCATCAAGTGTTAAGATTATCTAGTTCATAGTTCACTAGTGGTAGATTGGTCGAGCGATAATCAAGAGTTACCTATGGGGAGTTTGAGCATTTTATCTTCTTGATTTTCGAACTTCAACAGGTTCTTAGGAAAGTACAGAGAGCGTTAGAGCATTTTTGCAAGTAAAAATTGGAAATGGTAAGAAGGAATATAAGGTCAAAATTGAAAATTCCATAAAGTGGAGGTGAAAACTATAGGGTAAACTGCAGCATGAATCACTGAACTATTCGAGGTTAGCGCTTTACTACTAAGGGGTTGTTTGGTATGATGGATAAACAAAAGTAATCTTGGGAAATGTAGTACTACCTTTTTCCTTGTTTGGTTACTGAATCTGGAATAAGTTATCGAGGATTAAAAATATCACAGGAATAACTTATACCTACTAGAGGGTGGAATAATAATCCCAAAATAAGTTATCCCAGGATAAAGCAGTAAAATTGATAATCCCAAAATTAATACAACATACCAAACAGTCAATAAGAAATAATCCCAGCATAAGTAATGTTCAAACCAAACGACCCCTTAAGATGGTTGCAATTAGACCATCAATATACGAGGTCCTTTGGTTTAGCATTCCCCTGAAAAAAACTAAGAGAGAGACTGTCAGCAAGATAAATTTCGTATAACAGATGTGCAACAAAAATTCTACCACTTAAATGGGTTGATTGAGTTTAACTTTTACATACTAATGTCGTAAAAGAAGTTTTAACGATTATTTTATTTTAAATGATAATTATAGATGACCCCCATGCTCAATGAAAATAATAACTTGAAAAATAAAACAAATAATCTGTTGTAACAAGTACCTAGAAAAATTACACTACCAATATATATAAGATACTCCATATCCTTACCAAGATCCTAATATGACAAACTTGCAAAAGTATATATCAATTCATACAAACAGAATCAACTATTTTAAACTATTACACACATGGGGATGGTGGGAAAACCAAAGCCTCAAAAGGAGAAGAAAATGTATACTATGCTATATATTGTCTAAATAAAAGCTAAACTATTCCCTCTTTCACACTATTTACCCAACGTTGAATGATTAAATATACATAACTAGAAAGAAAAAGATGCCACTTCTTTGTGTGTGCATTTTTAGTAAAAGTAAATTTCCGAATAAAAGTCCTCCTCACACTTTTCCAAGGGACATTAACTCCAATGATTTTGCCCCACTTCACAAAAATGGATTTATAGTAAAATCTTGTTCCCTCAATCCATTATAGTTACTGAAGAAGGATTTATAGGAACTATTTGATAGCATCAAACTTTATTGTCATCCTCTTCTCTTCTTCATCATCCTCATCATTTTATTGACTTTGTTCAACATTTTGTCTCTGAATATTTTCTGCTTCCAACTGCTGCTGCTGTTGTTGTTGGTTCATTATTTGCATTAGTAACTCTCCAGCCTTGATACTAGAACCTGGATTTTCTGAACTTAGCAATTGTTTCTTGGACTTGTTTTGATAGATAGAATCCAGTAGATGAAAATAAGGACATGTTTTTGAATCTTCTGGCCTCCTCTTTTGGCTTTCTTTAACTCTCCTATAATACTTGTTTATGTTCTCCCATTTCTCTTTACACCTCTTGGCATTTCTATCATATCCAAGCTTCTTCATACCAGTTGAGATATCTTCCCATAGAGGCCATTTTGGTGATCCATTGTCTTGATATTGCAAGTCAACGTTCGTTCTTAACTTGATCAATGCTTCGACTTCTGCTTTAGGCCATCGACCAGAACTCATATGAAACGAATTCTCACCAGCACTGTCTATATCTTGTTTCTCCAACATGTTCTCTTGCTTATCATTGTCTTGCTGCAAAACATTTTCTTGGCTTCCAACAGTTTTCACCGACGAATTCTCAGTCTTCTTCTCATGAGATAAGTCCATTGGCGACTGTACTTGAACGGTTTGCTCTGAGATTTTCTGCAAGAAAGCAATCACTGCTGCATCTTTGGCAGCAGAAATTGCTATTTCATTGGCTAGTGCTTCTTTTTCTTTCTTTAATCTTGCTATTTCCTGCATCTTCCAAGCTTCTTCCCTCGCTATCCGATCCCTCTCGCATTTTTCTATCGCTTCCAAGAACTTGTTTTGCAAATCCTCTTGCTTGTCCAACACTTGCTTCATCAACCTCTCGAAATAACCAGCCAATTTCCTTTTCTTCTTCACACTACCATCGGATTCCTTACCCGAGGAAGAGGTTGTGGACGTGGACGTAGACATGAACTCCGGATTGAAACCTTGGTTTTGACAACTGAAATCTTGATATCCACTAGTGGCTGGTTTTATCATTGTCATCGGCATAGGCATTGGTACTGGCATTGAAATTGATGTTGTTGTATCCATCCTATTATTCTGGTTGTCCAAAAGTTCTAATTGCTCGAAAAATCGATAGTTTTTCCCAGTTTGTCTACCAGATCTACCATCTTTTGTTCTCTTGTGATACTTATAAATGTTCTCAAATTTCTCCCTGCATTTCTTTGCATTTCGATTATACCCTAGCTCACCCATATTCCTGCCAAATAATAAAACAAAAAATTTCCCATTGTGCCTTCTCTTTCAAAACTTCAAATTTCACCTCAATTACAATTTAAAATATATTCCAACAGCCAAACAGAAATACTGCTTAAAAAGTTAAAAAGATACTCATCTAGTTAAAATTCAAAACAATTACTCTTACCCAGTATAACAAAATTGAAAATACCTGAGGCTTATAAATATGTGCAGGTTTACTAAAAGTGATGAACTAATAATACAACTAATTAGATGGTTTGAGCTCAATATAACAAAACAAGTTAACCAAATATGAATTGTACATATGCTAATTAAGAGAGTGATGTTTGTTTGTACCTAGAAATTTCATCCCAAAGAGGGCCTTTGAGATTGGAATCACGAAATGCAAGGTCCATTTGAGACCTTATTTTGAGCAAAGCCAAAGTTTCATCGTGTGGCCAACGATTCCCACCAGATATATTATTCTTTTCACCTTCTATTTCCCCTCTGCTTCTCTCTTCCTCTTCTGAACCTCCACCGACACTACCACCGCCGCCGCCACCGTCATTACTCAGCTCCACCACCTGAGTTACGGCGCCGCCACCAGCAGCAGCGGTAGCTGAATTCTCCAACAAGACTGAAGTTTCCAGCATTTTCTTTTGCTTTACACACTAGTACAAGTTTACAAGAAAGTTCACAAAGGTGAACTTTTTTTCTTGGGCTTAGTAGTAAAATAATTGAGGAGTGTCACTTATCCTCTCCTTTTATTTTTCTTTTTTCTTTTCGGTTGATTTGAAATTTGGGGGTTTACTCCTACTTTCTATATTTTTAACTTCACCCCACTATTTTCTTTTCCTTTGTTAAGGGGTCAAGTAAGTGTAATGGTGATATGGAAAAATAACGCTTTTTCCGAATGGGGTTTTATGCGGCGTGTATCTGGATATAGTCGAGTTTCAATACGAATATCGGACATTGGATGGAAAACCAACAAAAAAAATATAATGATGAGTACTAGGGTAGTAGCATACACAAGAATTTCCTAAGAGGTTTCAATATTTAAAGAAGTAAATAGATGAATAAATTACTGTAACAAGCGGTATTATTTTTTATGTTTATACTTAATATTTAAATTTTAATTTATTTATTATTTAACACATATTAGAAATAAAAATCGACGAAGCAATGTCACGTGCCTATGCTCTCGGGGTGCTGAATTAGGGTTTTTTACTTTTTAAAGAGACAATATTAAAAATTAGAGTGGGACATGTTAATGATGTGACTTGGATTAATTTAATTTGCGTTGTGTAAGACCTATTAAAAAATATACTACTCTCTTTATTAAGATTTATTTTGTTTTCAAATTCGAATCCTATATAGCAGGTTAACAATGAATAAATCATATCCATTCAACTATAATCTTTAATGGTTTATAGAAGTGATGGTCCAATAAATAAATTATACAGCTTTTCAAGGCTTAATTGGTTACACATGTATAAGTTGAATTTTTCCTCTTGATTTTGACTTTTCTGCTCATGCTATAAATGGCTAGTCAACTTTGCTATGGTGGAGTCCAAAATTACAGCTAGGATACACCGTGTTGAAATAATGTGAAAAGTGTGGTATGTTGTAAATTACAGCTTGGATACACCATTTTCGATATTTTCTCCTACTATTTATGATTTAAAGTTAAAATCATTTAACAAGCTAATGTAGTTTTAGAAATATTATATGCTCATGCTTTTCATTTGCTTCGCTTTATCAAAATATATTCCTGATAATTGTGATAGATATTGAGAAGCGAAGAAAAAAGAGCCTTCTTTTTTTATTTAGGGAAAACCTTGGAAGATTTAATTTTGGAAAGAGGGAATAAAATAGAGAAAAAAAAAAAAGGTCGAGATGAGTCATTGTTATCAATTTGGCAATTTGAGGAGATACCAACAAGTGGAAGATAAAGATGAAGCGAGATGGAGGGATAAGTAAATTGAAAGAGTTGAAAAAGAAAGAAATGTGTTCAATTTCCAAGTTGGGATTTGTAAGTTTGTGCCTTAAAAGCTAAATTTTAGTTAAAAAGTCGGCCATACAGCCCACGTTTTGGCTTTTGGACACTTTCTTGTTTTCATACCAAGGTTTTATTTATGCAACTATATGGGTGAAAATGTGGTATTGCCTTTTCCTTGTGAGTAGTGTCCTTATAACGACAAGAATTTTTTTTTTTTTTTTTAATTGTTATCATAATAGGGACCCATAATTACGGCTGGAAAAAAAAAAATGAGGGGTACAAAGATTTGTAAACAAAAAATTATTGTTGGTTAAGTAAAAGCAACTTTGGCTGATCTAAATCGGATAATTAAAACGATTTTTGAATAGTTGATTACTGGTTAAACAAGAAAAAATTGTTTCTGCATTTTGGAATAAACTTGGTATGGCTTTTGCTTATATCATGATATTAATAATGATAGTAATATTGTCAACTTACATATAGCAAAGTATTTAAATTTTTCCGCAAGGGTTGGCTGAGTTGGTTGGGTGATTGGTTTTCCATGTGAGATCTGTAATTGATTTCCTCCTCAGTCAGAGTTCGTCACACCGGATTGCTTAGTGCAATTTATATCTCCTGTATAATTTGCGAGCTATTGTATAATTAGCTCGCAAATGACTCAATCCGCATTCGAAGGATAGCGATTACCCAGGGAGTTTTCCAGAAGAAAAAAAAAGGTACTCAAAACTTAAAATTTTCTTTTCAGCTAAAAAAGGAGCTAGGTCTTACTTTTCTTTAGTTAGAGATTTTTTTCTTTACCAAGTTTCCTTGACTTCAAATTTTCTTTAACTCCTTTTATATCTTTCTTATTTTATTATATATTTGGGGTTTACTTTTGGAAAGGGGGAAGAAGGGGTTTGGTTCAAAGGGGATGATGATAAGTTTGAGTTTTATGTATGATTAACTGCCTTGTAATAATAAAATGAAATTAATGTAAGAAGATGAAAGAAACATAAAGTTGGCCTTTGGGAAAAGGAAAGAGACACATAATCATAGAGAGGTCAATATTAGATGGAATTCATTTACGTTAACTCGACGCCATGTCACTTTCGTATAAACAAAATAAATTATTAAATATGTGCAGTAAAAATTATTATTATTAGAATAAAGAAAAACAAAAAGGAATCTAAGAAAGTGTGTCATTTTCAAACTTGCTAAAGAGTGAAGTAATTATCTTTGAACCAATTTTCAACCACTTGGAGTGAATCTGTGGTTGTAACTTGCATGCTGTCCCACACGGTATACTTTTATAATTATGAAAAGAACTCTAATAGTTATTAAACTATACAAGTGAATAGTATCTGGTTGGTCGTCCATTATATATTAACTCTCATCCATAAATTTCAAGCATTTAGGATGTGTATGTTATTTAAGCATTTTCTCTTTAATTTTTCTTTCCTAAGTTCTTTCAAAATGAAAAACATCGTATTTGTTTCTAATCAATATACATATATTGTGAAACTAAACATTACTTTTTGACATTTCGATTAAATTGAGGGATTAGAGAAGGAAAAAGAAGAAAAAAAACGAGAATCAAACTCACCTAATATATGGGGGACTTTCATAAATACCATCAGACTATGAACCTTGATGATTGTGTTTAAAATCAAGCAAGGGCAAAGAAACTTATCTATTTATTTTCTAAATTACTTCACTATTTATTGTAATTTTTTCAGAGTAAAAAAGGTTCAACTATGAGTAAACGAAAAGATGAACCTTATTCGATATTTGACTACTACATTTGTAATCTTATCATACAACTTAATAACACTGCTAGAATTACGCGGATTACCAATGGCCAATTCCGTTACAAAACTACCCAAGAAACGAAAACTTTGATGACTTATTAGAGTGATTGTTTGTCGTCAAAAATATTGTCTAACATCGAGTTGTCGAATATTTAGACAAAGTATGTTACAACTGAAAATCCACTATACATCGCAATGGCGCCTAACGTCGCCATCATACGTTGATTTATCAATTTATTTGCTCATTTTATTACTTCCGAAATCATAATCTTCATTGATTTAATGGTATAAAATAGAACTTTCAGGGTAAAATGATAATAAATGCGCAATTACAACAACGAACAACCCGTAAGAAGCCCCCAAAATCCGGTGTCACAAGTACATGAGCATTTTCTAAGGAGTACAACAATAATACAACATCTGTCTGGAATGTAATTAAGACAGGATAAAATAAATGGTACAATGGGGACTCGGTGGACTGCGGTGCGTAACCTGAATTGCAGCTAACATAAAGTCTCCTCAACAGATGCACCTACGCGCCAAGATGATCACCAAATGGCCAGTCAAATCCTGCACATTTAGTGCATAAGTGCAGCATGAGTACGTAAATCAACGCATACCCAGTAAGTAGTCTAGCCTAACCCAGGAGAATAGTGACGAGGGGTCGACATCGATACTTACTAGAGGTCCAAATAAATAAATAATAATTCGTAACAGGTATGAAGTGCACAACAATAGTGGAGTAAATCTGCAATATCATAATGTTCCAATTATTCTTTTCAGAGCATACTTGTATTCTATCTTAATATCTCAAGAAAAATATCAAGTGTCAATACCAAATAAATAAGAAATACCATAAAATGCCGGACAACAGTGGAAGATTTATCTCGCGAATATTCGGACTACTAGCGATATGACGCACGATTCCGCCGAGGTCGTTCGGCCTAAGGGTGTTAAACAGGTGGGCCGGGCCGGGAAAAAAATGAAATCGGCCAGTTTTCAATCCGGACCGGTTACGGGTTAGTCTTTACCGGGCTTAACGGGTCTGGGTCCATCCGGGTAAAAAATAAACCGTAAGGGTTACGAGTCCAAGGGGCCGGGCCGGGTTAGTGTTATTTATTTATTTATATTTTTTTGTTATTTTGTATAACTATCGTAATTTATATTAACATAAAATAAAAATTAAAGAATACAATGAAGATGAAAAAAAAATTGCACTTATAAATTGCAAGTGCTACATTTATTTTAAAATTCAAACTTACAAATTGAAAGGTTTTCATTTAACAACAAGTAAATTAACGAAAAAAGAGTAAATTCAAAGGTTTTGCATTGCCTTAGTAAGTTCTTCATAATCAATATGAACTTCTTGGCCATCTTCTGGAGTGTTAAATTCAGATGGGTTACCATGTGTTAATATATTTCCAAGTTCCTCGTCTTCTGGGCTATCAACATCTTCACGTCCCTGATTTCTTCGTTCCAATCTAATCCAATCTCTGAAACATACTAAAACTTCCAAAGCATTGCTTCCCAATGAGTGACGGGTGTCTCCAAGTTGTTGTCTTGCTTGACTCAATGCACTCTCTGATGCAACAGTTGAAATTGGCACATTCAGCACGTCCCGAGCCATAGCGGAAAGAGCAGGAAATAGCTTTCCATTCTCATGCCACCATCCCAACTGTGAAAATTCCTTTGTGCGTGGCTTTTTTTGCTTTTGCAAGTAGAATTGAAGTTCATCAATGTTCCTGCTACTGGTTTGAGCATTAGAAAATATGGAAAAAATATTAAAAAAACTATCAAGGCTTTCATCATCATCCATAGTAGTAGAAGTGGTACAATGCATAGTGGGATTAACATTGCCTACATTAAGAGCAGCATCATCAAATATATTTGCATAATAATTATATAATTGTTGTAAATTATCATTTTGCTTGTTCATACAAATATATATCCGGGGTTTTAGTTGATCCAATCTCCACATAAGTATATAAAGCATTGATTAATTGGTGACAATCAGACAGAATGACTTAAAACAG